TGATCTCCAGCCAGTTCTGCAGTCTCCAAGGATTCTGGCTAGAATCTACCTCTTTCTCTGGCACAGACTAAACTTTAAGACCAGAGGTCTAGCTATTCACTGCAGATTTTTAAACATTCGCCCTTTGAAATATCATCCTGTCTGTCTGTCTTGATACCAGATTCTCTGTCCTGTGATGTGAATGCAGAACTATGTGGAGACTTATACAGTTTTCTTTTATGATATAAGCATATTTTTTATCACAGTAGAAACACATGTGTAATGTGGAGTATTAACTAGAGCAGTGTAATGCTGCAGTGGCTTTATGGTTCTGGGATGTTTCAGTGCTTTCAGTCAGGGGATAGTTATCCATCTGATGTCCGTCACTCATCTTCTTTTCTCATCAGTTTGTTTCTGTAAACACAGACCAACTGTCATCTTTAAATGCAATGTTTATACATTTGGAAAACCATCCATCAATACATTTTCTAGCACGCTTAACCCGAGTGGGGTCACAAGAAGTGCTGGTGCCTACCTCCAGCTGTCTATGGGTGAGAGCCGGGGTCCACCCTGGACAGGTCTCCAGTCCATCGCAGGACAACCCAGAGACAAACAGGACAAACAACCATACTCACACCTAAGGAGACTGTAGAGAAGCCAATTTACCTAACAGTCATATTTTTGGGCAGTGGGAGGAACACGGAGTACCCGGAGAGAACCCATGACTCTCAGGGAGAACATGCAAACTCCATGTAGAAAGACCCTGGGCTGGGAATTGAACCCAGAACCTTCTTGCTGCAAGGCAGAGGTGCTACCCACTGCGCCCACAGAGTAGATGGAGTAGATAGTCTTCCTTCACATAGTGTAACGCTGTGTGATTACAGAGGCTATCTAATTAGGACGGTCCTTCTGTCCGGACAATAAGCACAACATAAAGGAACATCCCAGAGGCAAGATTGATAAAGAATATCATGTCTGTAATCCTGAGGCATAGACACTGCAGGGAAAGAGGTCAGGGTTTTTGATGCCGCGTCAGTTCCTGACACACACAGCGAAGCGTCCACCTGATATAACACATAGACTCATGAGGTATAAGAAGCAGGAGATGACCTTGTTCAGGACTTGAGACCACAACTGGGCCATCTCAGCATAATTTCTCGGTTCTAAGCTGATCTGATCTGCAATAAATTAGGTTCACTTTTGCACTGGGAAAAAAAGTATTCAACTATTTACTCCAGTCAACGATAGATTTCACTCAGTCTGCACTTCTTATCTTAGCAAAGAGAGAACATTTCATCGTACGGCGCTGATTGAACGGTAATCAGCCCTGTTCTGATCTGGGCAGCATTCGTTCCCCCTTACTTACAATAATGAGTCAAAACTAATTACAGACACTTTGGTTAAACAGTAACATGTTATGAATAAACTTTGATAAAGAATCTGGTTTGTTATGGGAAGAAGCTATGTCTGCACTACAAACACCCTCACTCAGGCCTTTGTGGCATTGCAGGTGAAAGAGGCCGAGTGAGAACTTTTATAGTGAGTAAATTAACATCTGAAATAAGAAAATCTAAATCTTCTGACCACAGTGTGTACCACACTCAGCACAGATCACAGGAAACAAAGGAAAGAGGTGACTCAGCGGATTAGAAACAAAATGATAAATCAGCATAATTGACTCTAAAGACTGAGAAATAAATATAAACTTAAGGGAACCATACATTTTAATCCAGGCCTGCTTATGGGTTTATTTTAAATATTATCTTGAAGCCTGGTTGAAAAACAACGTCTTACTTTGATTTGTTGATTATTGTAGATTTTTTTAAATGTATTATTACTTTTGTCAGATTCATTATTCTTTGACCATTGTGGGGTTTGCACTATATTACTGTCTATTCCACGTGTGTAAAGGCCAGATATGTGGAGATTAGGAGACACTAACAGCTGTGAGGTCTCTGCTTTCTGCCAAATCTTACCGATAAAAGCTCACATGCCTGCGTTGCTTTAAGGCCTCACAGCTGGAATTAAGTGAGAACATATAAACCACCAAGAGGATAATGATGTTTTATCTATCTGAGTGAGCTGCTGTTATCTAGGGGAGGCCTGGCAACAGACACAGTCTGGCTTATCTAAGTCATAAAGTCTACCTGCACCCAGAAACAGAGTATTACTCTCACACCCTCAGGAAGTTTTTGGCTTTTATATATATTCCTGTCTAGATGCTGATCTGGTTTAATTAGGAACTGAAAGTAGCATCTTGTGAAAAAAGACCATTGGGGAAACTGACCATAAAGGATGATCTGCCTGGATAGCTGGCCCTAATTGTTCCTGCCTAACTCTGCCTGGTCTCCAATTATCTCTGATCTCATCCACCTGCATCTGCTACTTTATATTGGGCTCATTTCCAGCTATCTGGGTCAGATCATTGATTGTTTGCTGTCTGTTTGTTCCCTATTAGATGTCTTTAGGTTGGGTTTTCATAAGTTTTAATTAGTCCACGGTTCATGTCCCCGTTTCAGTGAGGAGATTATTCTGGAGCCAGTGTCTTCAGGCCAGTTTATTCCCTAACCAGTGGTGAGAGCGTTTCAGCGTTTCCTTTGTGATTCTGATCTCCTGATTCCGTTCCCTCTCATCCACTGGCCCTATCGGTCCCTGTCTGATCTGTTTGCCTGAACCTTCTTTTGGACTCCTGCTGGATTCTGCGTATCTGTTTCTTTTCATTCTGTTCATTTCTGTCTGAGCTTGCTGCTCGACGCACAGGACTCGAACCTCCCTTCACGCTCTGAGGATTCCTGGAAGCCTGGATCCCTCTGTTTCCTGTTTGGGTCGGAACGTCTGATCATGTGGAGAACTCCTGGATCCCTGAACTTTTCCTGCCTGATCTGTTCTCCCCTGTCCTGGATCGGCTTCCTGCAGGTTCTGCAGCATCTGGCCTCTCTGGGCGGCTCAGGGCCGCATCTCCTTGGGCGTGCATCGGCTGATCCTGCCTATGATTGAGAGGATGGACTGAACTGTTAAACCAGGTAAGTGACTCTACAGCTCCTCAGCAGCTTTTTTCAGTTTTGTCTGTTTATTTTAATAAAGCTTTTGAATTTTCCTACTAAATGTCTCACCTTGAATACTGGGTCCATCTGTCCTGTTTCATCACAGATGGATGGGTGGATGGATGGATGGATGGATGGATGGATGGATGGATGGATGGATGGATGGATGGGTGGATGGATGGATGGATGGATGGATGGATGGATGGATGGATGGATGGATGGATGGGTGGATGGGTGGATGGATGGATGGATGGATGGATGGATGGATGGATGGATGGATGGATGGATGGGTGGATGGGTGGATGGATGGATGGATGGATGGATGGATGAGT